ATTTTCCTTTCACTGGAACACTTAGAGGGCATTGTAGGGTTACCAATGGCCTATTTTCAATCCTGTTGCATCTCAGGGAATAGGGAGGCTGGAGGAAAGAGAGATGGAGAATGGCTTGTTGGTGTAGCAGTCAGAAGACACACATATTTATCTATTAAGTTTGCTGTCTTATTTGGGCATGGTTCATGCCCCCCCCCCCAACAATTATAATAGTAACAAAAAATCACTGATCACAGGTCACCATAATGAATAACATAATAGTGAAAAAGTTTGAAATATTGTGAGAATTACCAAAATGTGACACAGAGACAGAAAGTGAGCATATGTTGTTGGGAAAACGGCAGTACAGACTTGTTCAATGCAGGGGTGCTTCAAACCTTCAATTTGTAAAAAATGCAGTATCTTTGAAATTCAATGAAGTGAAGTGCAGTAAAACAACATATGTCTGTATGTAAGAGTAGGATGATTGAGTTATGTGGTTAGCTGTAAATTGAACTTTATAAAAGCTGCAAAACTATTTTTGGTGTGGACATAACATTTTGCACCCTCACCACTGCAAAATACATATGTTTGAGAGTTTCAGTTGCTCTGCAGCCTCATCAACACTTAGTATTCTCAGGGTTTTTATTTTTTGCCAATCTAGTAAGTGTCTAGTAGTTTTCACTGCAGTTTTAATTAGCATTTCACTACAGACTAATGAAATTGAGCATCATTTCATATGCTATTTGTCACCCATATATCTTCTTTGGTAAAGTGTCTGTTCAAATCTTTTGCCCATTAAAAAAAAAATTTTGGTTGTTTTCTTATTGTTGAGTTTTCAGAGTTCTTTGTATGTATTAGCTACAAGTCCTGTGTGAGGTATATGATTTGCAAATATTTTATCCCAGTCTATGCTTGTCTTTTCATTCTCATAACTGTGTTGTTTGCAGAGGAAATGTTTTAAGTTTTAGAAAGTCCAATTTATTTACTTTTTGTTATGTATTGTGCTTTTGGCTTTGCATTTTCAACCTTGAATTTTTATATATTAAAAGTAAAATTTTAAAAATCCTCCTAGTAGTAACAGATTATCTACAAGTATATAACTAATAATTACCTACATTTCTGAAGTGTGAAATTAAATAAGACATTAGATAATTTGTGCAGGAAAATACAAATTAGAGTTAAGAAAGGTGAGACACGAATCTAATAATTTTTAAAACACAGAACTAACATCTTTTCAATTTTGGATAATAGTTGCATGTAAACACATGAAATAAAATGCCTCATGGGGTTTCAAATACCCATTCATTCATTCACCTATTCATTCATTTGAGAATATTTACTGAGCACTCACTATAAGCTAGGCACTGTGTTCTACATGGGGGTACATAGATTCATATGATGAGACAAGAACTTGCAATAAATAAATTAACAGATAACACAATGTGATAAGTGTGATTGCCATATGTTCAAAATGAACCAGGTTTCTTTATGTACATGTAATAGTGTCATCATGCCTATATCTCAATTTGAAACTGTTCATTGGACCACTTGATTTAAAGTCTTTCTGTTCTACTTGGGTAATGGGTATGCTAAAATCTGACTTCACCACTATAAAATTCACCCATCTAACCAATAACCACTTGTACTACCAGAGCTATTGAAATTAAAAATATGTATTAATTTTAAAAAACAGAAAGGGTAGGCCGGGCGCGGTGGCTCAAGCCTGTAATCCCAGAACTTTGGGAGGCCGAGGCAGGTGGATCACGAGGTCAAGAGATCGAGACCATCCTGGTCAACATGGTGAAACCCCGTCTCTACTAAAAATACAAAACATTAGCTGGGCATGGTGGCGCGTGCCTGTAATCCCAGCTGCTGGGGAGGCTGAGGCAGGAGAATTGCCTGAACCCAGGAGGCGGAGGTTGCGGTGAGCCGAGATCGCACCATTGCACTCCAGTCTGGGTAACAAGAGCGAAACTCCGTCTCAAAAAAAAAAAAAAAAAAAAAAAAAAAAAAACCAGAAAGGGTTGCTCTTAAAATAATAAACAAGGCTGCGTATGTTGGCTTATGCCAGTAGTCCTAGCACTTTGGGAGGGCAAGACAGGCAGATCACCTGAGGTCAGGGGTTCTAGACCAGCCTGAGCAAAATGGTGAAACCCTTCTCTACTAAAAATACAAAAATTAGCTGGGCACCAGCAACTCAGGAGGCTGAGACATGAGAATCACTGGAACCTGGGAGGCAGAGGTTGCAGTAAGCCAAGATCGTGCCACTGTACTCCAGCCTGGGCAACAGAGCAAGGATCCATCTAAAAAAAAACTAAAAAACTCAAATAATCAATAAACAGATCTATACTGAGAGCTGGGCAGGTTGGGGAAGGTACAGGGTGAGGCCAATCATAGAAAATGTAAGCTGGCAGACTTAGCAGGAGTGGGAACAGAGGTTGGCACTCTGCCATGTTGGGCAGGGGTGAGGAGGAGAGGGCTTAACATAAATTTAAAAACAAATAAAATGTGTCTCTTTCATCATGCACTCTAGGAATATCAATACAACATATGTTTTCTTCATTTCACTCGAGCCTGGGCAATAGAGTCAGACTCTTTTAAAAAAAAAAAAAAAGGTTTGCTACTGATGTACAGAAAGAAGGTGTTGCTAATTCTGCCCCTGGCAGTTTTGAAGACTTGATTTTTAAAAAGGTGGCATTTAAAGTGAACCTTGAAGCAAAGATAGGAACATGCTGTTGGGACAGGAGAGAGTTGAGAAGGAAGAGAAGGGCAGCATTCTAGCACTGTGAAATCTTAGACACGGGTGTGTGAAGGTCCACGGACAGTCAGTCGTATGTGGAGCAGAACCATCCTGCCTGAAGTTACGGACAGGAGATGAGACCAACATGGAAGGCTGGAAACAGATTGGGAAGGAAACACCTTGCCAACCAGGCTCCATTTGAACTTCCTAACAGTAGGATTCAGGGACTGAAGAATGTTAAGCTTGAAAGTAACATGATCACATTAGCGATTCTCAGATAGAGAGGGCAGCGTGTGGCTGACTGGAGAGCAGAGCGGTGAAAGGCTGTTGCTGAAGTGCTGGTAAGGCATGATGTGGTCTGGCAGTGAAATACAGATGCTGGGAGGGATGGATCTGGAAGCTATCCCAGGAGACAGAAAGACAGGCCTGGGCGATTGATAAGACGCGAAGGGAAAAGCAGAAGGAAGATTTAATATTTCGCTCTCCCGATGCCTGAGGAGTGTTGTATGTTGATAGTCAACATATTTTTTTAAGTTTTATGATTAATATTACATATTCTTTTAAAAATACCATAAAGAACAAGAAAACCATCCATTATCCCAACACGCAGAGATAACCACTGCAAAAATTTCATATGCATATCATTCAAGTCTTCTTTTAAAATATACCTCTGAAAAGAAACTCTAAGGGTTCCATCTCTACCAGGAACTCGGATCTCATAAATTGCATTAACATGTTGAACTTCATTTTGAACCTAAATATGAATACTTTCACTAAAGTATGCACTGATTATTTTTTTAATAAAGTGAATAGGTACATGGACAGGAACCGCCAACTGGAAAATAAATGAGCGTCAGCAGTGACACCCAGGACATGCCCTTATTAGTAGATGCTAACCCGCAGAGGAAACCTGCATAGACATGGAGGGACACTTCCAAGTTCAGGTTGATTAATTCATATTCAATTCATTCCCCCTGCTGAGCCAGGCAGGAAGACAGCACGGCAGCGATCTCTACCTTGAGTGGACGCTAATTATTTTTTTGCCTACTTGAACCCTGAGCTTGGGGAAGCCAGTGCACATACACTAGGAAAAACTTTCTGAGGTCTAGCAGCTGGCGATCAAAAATAGGTAATCCTAGGCCCTTCCAAATAGAGGGGCTGGGGAGGGAAGTTTAACAAAAAAAATTAGTAAGAATGTTTTTATGTTGAGATGGACAGGTTATTGGGAAGATCGGAGGCAGGGTGATTCAGGGAAGGCCTAAAAAAATGCTCCAGGAGTAGAAAAATCCAAGCAGAAGGTGGAGGAGTCTCAAAGATGGACAAATAGCCACAGCGTGGGCCGCCCTCTTTAAGGTAGCCTTGCAGACCAAGTTCAGGGCGGAGGTGGGACAGCTGGTTCCGAGATCCCCAAAACGTACCCGCGGAGTTCTTCCTCCAGACCTTCCGGGGACCTACCCATGTCACCTGGTTCCCACCCTGCCGCCTCCGCGCTGCTCAGAGGAGAGGAGAGGAGAGTGGGACTATGCCCCACTTCCACTCTGAGGCTCTAGATTGAAACATCCAGAGGGATCAAACACTATTTACAACAAGGAAGAGAAAAACCAATAGGGCCCGAGAGGGCTGCAGGGGCTTTACCTGGGGAAAGGGTTGGGCAGAGGGTGGCAGTATTATGCTCTGGACTTTTTTCCACCAAAACGCATAACCGGATTACCACTTCCTAAGACCTGCCTTCCTGGCTCTTCCCACTGCCTCCATCCTCCGCCTCGCAGCCTGGGTATATTACTGTAAATGTCAAGTGGTCTCCGCCTGCCGTGGGTTCGGAGCTCCACTTGCTCTTCAGCTCCAGCTCTGCGGTCCAGCGGATTTCGCGGGGCTCAGGGCATGGCGGGGAGTGAGATTTGGCCGGGGTCATTTCACACTGCTGGGCCTCCCGCCACGCTCGCAGCTGCTGGCCGGGGTGAGGCTGGCGGCGAGGGAGAGGCGCAGGGGGTCGCGCGCAGGAAGGAATCGGTGCTCCCTGAGCAAACACTGCTCGCTTCGAACGCTCACTGGGAACAGGCTTCCCGGGCAGATCCCAAATCCCTCCAGCTCCGCTCACCCTGAGGGCGGGAGCGCGGCGCCCGGGTGCCCCACCTGCGCGGGGCTGTCGGCTCCCGCGGGCCGGAGTTTACAGACTTGGTGCTCAAGCCGCCTCTCCCGGAGTTGGGTCGCGCGCGCCGGGCCAATGAGCGCGCCCCGCGGAGGGCTCCGCTCCCCCCGCGCTCGCTGATTGGTCCCGCGCCCTCGAGGCCAGGCCGGCCGCGGCTGCGGGAGGCGGCCAGTGCCCGGCGCGAGTGGGAGTGGCGCGCGCGCCCCCCGCCGCCCCCCGCCGCCCCCCGCCTCTCCCCCGCTCCCTCCTCCTCGCTCCCTCCCTGAGCTCCCGGGCTCCGGCCGCGCGCTGGCGGGGCTCCGCATTGCACACTCTGGGGGCGCCGCAGTGTTCGTGGGATGGGGCAGCGGGCTGCAGCTGGCGGCCGGAATCCGCGCGCAGCCCGGGTGAGTAGAGGCGGGCTTCCCGGGAGAGCACAAAAGAGCAGGGGGTTGGTGCCAGCGGCCGCGGCTCAGGCGGGGGCCTGGCCAAGCCAGGGAGTGCGCTGAGTCGCTGGAACTACCCAGTGCTAGGGCAGCCCCCTGGGGCCGGAGGAACTGGGGTCCCGGCCTCCGGCGTTTTGCTCCGAGTGGGCAGAGAGACCCGCGCGCAGCCTGGACGGGTCCAGAGGGGCGTGTGTGCTCGTGTGTGTTGGGCTGGCGCGCGTAGGGTGGGATGCAAAGGTCAGGAGCTGTCAAGTTCAAGGCTGGAGGAACCTTTCCCAGGAGTAATTCACCACCTTCCCACGGCCCAGCGTGCGTCCACCAGGAACTCCAGCTGGAGGGAGTTGCTGGGCGGTGGACTAGCAGCACCCCACATGTTGCTGCGGGGTGGGGGGCAGTGGCGGTGGCTCGGCTGCGCCCACCCGGAGCCTCTGAGGGAGGTGCAGCGCGCTGGGGGTACCTCTCCGCCGCTGCAAGACCACGCTAGGCCTTTCAACGACCCACTCCGACCACCCGGGGAAGAGACTGTCCACCCACAGAGTTGGGACTTGGCCTGGGCTTGACTTGGCGACCCGTTTTTCTCTTTGGTAACAGCAGTTCGATTTATTCACATTTGGCTAAGCATTCAGTTACAACCTAAAGCTCACTTATCTGATGGTCTCACTCACTCTGACCCCCACCATATAGCCTCACCATTTCTGCCCTCCTCCAATCCCCTTCCCTGCCCCATTATCTACTCTGCTCCTCATTGTAGGGTTCAAAACTTGGTGCTTGAGCATGATTGCCTTCGGTGTGGTCCTTGGCATTTTCAGGCGTCATAATCACATCCCATTTTCTAGAGGACTCCAAAGACTTGTTATCATGGGGTGGGGGGAGAGAATTGGAGGGGCTGGAAGAGAGTCTTTGGTAGTGACTTACTGAAAGAACAGCATTGACCTCCCAGAGCATATGACAAAAAGAATGTTAAGCTTCTCTCTCGTAACCTATCCAAGGTGTGACCTCCAAAATTCAATTTTCTTTGTGGGAGGCAAGGGAGTTTATATTCTCCAGGGGGAAGCTTATTTCTTGTTAAATTGACTTGCGGTGACATACACTCTGTTCTGCTCTGCTCTGGCCAGCCATTGCAGATGCTATGATATTATTAGAGCAATTCTCTTAAAGCCATTACATTTTCTTTCGAGTGAGAGGAACTCGAGCTAGCTGTTTAAAATTTTGGATCTGCACCTTATTTCTCTAGAAGACATTAATGGTTACTGTATATGTGCTCACGTGCACCAAGTTTGCAAAAGATATTTGTGCAATCGTCCATGAAATGGTTTAATGCACATTTATGTTAAACCCATTTAAATGTAAAACATCTATCTGTTTTCAATCTTAGTTTCCACCTCGACCAAAGGCACCAGGCTGAAACAGGACTTAAAAGAGGCTTCCTTGTTTAAACAAAGGTTTCTAGAACTCTAGTCCTGACAGCACACAGTAAGCTTTCTGAGCTTGTAGGCACACAAAGCTTGTTAAAAATTGTGAATTGGTTCCTTGGGTTAAAAATAATGGAAATGCTTCCAGACCAAAGAAGAGAGACAATTCATGAGGCTACACTCTGAAGCTATTGACAGTCTTTGTAAGGTGAACGTTTATAGTACATGATGCATAAATGGGGCTGATTATAGGCAAATAATATCAAGTAAATAAACATACCACGTGTTGTATCATACTGGATAGTTTATATGGCACATTGAAATCTACTATTAAAGCGTCTGAGGAAATCATATCTTTATCATCCCCATTTCACAGGTGAAGCAACTGAGGCTTTCAAAGATTGACTTTTCCAAGGTCAATAGCAGAGTTCAAAGTCAAATGTCTTTCAAATTCTTTCCTTCCTCACTTCTTCCCTTCCTTCCTTTTTGGTATTTACCTACTTCTTTGTTGTTTACCTACTTCTGATTTCTGCACCTCTTTTTACTGTTCAACCCATAGTTTGAGGGACCATTATGAACCATGCCCAAAAGGCTTTGCTCTTTGCTAAATATCACTTAGTTCTCACTAAGGTGAGGGCTGATAAAGATTTAAGGTGAAAACTAAGAATGGTTTTAAAGGACTACCCTTTTCAAAGAGATACATTATTTTTGATAATGAGTTGTTAAAGGTACACATAATCAAAACCCTAAAGGGTGATGTCCTAATGGTAGTGTTTCAGAAAAGCCAAGTAACAGTAAGAGAGATGTGTGAGAAATATGTAAGTCTTCTATTTCATAAACACACTTCTCATAAGCTCTGTAGACAATTAACAAGGGAGATAATACATGAATATCTCATTAGTGCCATTCTTATTTTAAAAAGAATTGACAAAACAGATGACTTAAATAAATTCAGAACCACTCTGGAAACAAAAATAGCACCCACTTATCCAAAGTCCTGAAATCCTCATTGACTAGTGTACAAATGTCGCAGAAGACATTGGTTAAAGAGAAATCATATTTTTACTTGCAAAGCTAGGAATAAGAAGTGTACAGATATCTGCCTATTGATTATTTTTAAGGGCTCATCATTTGCAAATCTGTTCTTGGAAAATGATTGCTTACAATATTTACTTGTGTCATTGCATAGTATTTATTAATGGGATTAATTTCATTTGCAATAATGTGATTGTCGAGCTTACTAGTAATTAGTCTTAGTTAAGTATGTGGGCTTTGGATTCAAGTGTTGTCTCACGTATACTAACTGTGGGACTTCAAAAAATGATTGAACTTCTCTGCGCTTTAATTTTCTTATGTGTAAAGCATGAATAATATACCTACCTCATGGAGTTTTTAAAATTTATTCATGCAGCAAATACTTAGTGATTGCCTAGTATGTACCTGCTCTGCTCTAGATGCTAGGGATACACGTGAAAACTCCTTGCCAATGAAGTTTACCATCTGGTGCCTGACATCTAATGACACAATGCATTTAAAATACTTAGAATGGGGCCTGACACCTACCAAATGCTCCATTATTGTTAGCTGTTGGTATCATACATTCTTTCAGGAAATGTTTAGAGTGCCTAACAGATGTAACACAGATTGCACCATGTAATGATGAATGATATGTGCTTCAATTCAATTAAGTATTTTAATAGAAGAAGGGACTACAAAGAAAGACATCAAGAGTATAATCAGTCTCTAAAAGGGAATTCAGTGCTGATATGTTAAAGAAGAAATGAAAAGAAATACTTAATTTACCCATAAGAAAGTGGGGAGCATATGAAATACCTTATGGGAACCCAAATGTTGATAAGAAAAACAATTCTTGTACCCAAGCTCTGTAAAACACTAAACACATAAGGAAAACACATAGGGAAAGTAAAGCAAAGAAAAAGAAAGCTTACTTGCATACATGTAATAAATAAGGAAAATTTGAAGGACCAGTTTATTAAACTGACCTCATGAAGGGTGACAGATTCCAGGCATACTAGATGCGGTAGCCAAAAGTGAATTTGTTAAGAAAAAAAAAAAAAAATCCTTGCAATGGATTTCCAAAATAATAATGAAAGTCTCTTAAATACTGTGAAATAAAGGTTGTGGAACTACTCAGCTTTTGTCATACCAAACATGTACTGGGAGATAAAAAGATAAAACAGAATGTAAATGAATTCTTTGCTTCTGCTTTGCTTCTGTTTTTGCTGAGTAATATTCCTACAACCAGACTTTTTCAAGGAATACGCACATTGGAGGTAATAGATCAAGAAGTGGCAAGTGCTGAGGATATTGCAGACCTAATCAGCAGACTAGCTACAGATAAATCACCAAGACTAGTTGGCCTTCACCTAAAATATATTGAAGAAGCTTGGTGGGTACGTGACGGCAATCTGGGGTATTTCTGGGGCATTGACTGGTGTCCTTGGGGAATCCAGTCAGGTGAAGGCTTTCTGGAAGGACTGGAGGCCTGGAAACCAGACCTTTGCCCCTGTGGACAACTGGGAAATGCATATTCAAAGTAAACACAGATTACAGCAAGTAACAATTTTTTTTTTTCTGAAGAAAAGGGTGATTGACATATTAGAGTTAAAGAAGGAAAATACAGTCATATACCTCATAACAATGTTTGGGTCAAGAATGTACTGCTTATATGATGGTGGTTCCATATGAGTATAATGGAGCTGAAAAATTCCTACCACCTAGTGACATCTTAGCCATGGTGATGTCATAGCACAACACATTACTCACCTGTGGTAATGCTTATATAAACACACTTACTGTGTTATCAGTCTTATAACAGTATAGTACATATAATTATGTACAGTACAAAATACTTGAGAAAGATATTAAACACCTATGTTACTGTTTTATGTATTTGCTATTAATGTGCAATTTATCATTATCTTACAGAGCACTCCTACTTACATTTAAAAAATAAAGCACTAACTGTGAACAGCCTCAGGCAGGTCCTTCAGGAAATAGTCCAGAAGAAGGCATTGTTATCATAGGCGATGTCAGCTCCACACATGTTATTGCCTGTGAAGACCCTCCAGTGGCACAAGGAGTGGAGGTGGAAGACAATGATATGGATGATCCTGACCCTAAGGAGGCCCAGGCTAATGTGTGTGTTTATATCTTAGTTTTTAACAAAAAAGTTTAAAATATGTTTTTATTTAGTAGAAAAAAGCTTACAGAATAAGGATTTGAAGAAAATATTTTCATACAACGTGTTAGTGTTTTAAGCTAAGTGTGATTACAAAGGAACCAAAAAGTTAAAACGTGTAAAAGTTTGTAAAATAAAAAAGTTAACAGTAAACAAAGTTAATTTAACATTGAAGAAAGAAAAACATTTAAAATAAATTTAGGGTAACCTAACCATAGTATTTATAAAATCTGTAGTGGTCTACAGTAATGTCCTCAGCCTTCACATTCACTTGCCACTCACTCACTTCCCACTCACTCGCCCAGAGCAACTTACAGTCCTGCAAGCTCCATTCATGGTAAGTGCCC